AATTACTAATTAATATATTGTCTTTTATTACTTTTAATATGAATTTCCTATGTGAATAATTTAAATAGAGTAGGATAGAAAATTATACCAAGGGGGGAGCACGAATGGATGGATTATTAGTAAGCTTTATGCCGATAAATTGTACAGATAATTTAGATTTTCTGTTAAAAGATTTTGCATTGATTTTCGTGATTATTTTGATGAATAATGCAGACCATACAGATGGCTTGATATATATATATATATATATATATATATTAAAAGTCAGTGTTTAAGATGATTGAACACGATTAATGGAATATGGTTTCAGCTAATGCTCTAGTTCAATTAATTTAAATATATCAAATCCGATGAAAACTTAAATCTTTCGTTTACAAAATATTGAATGAGAAATATACATATGTGATAAGATAAAAATTTTTATAAATTCATTCATCTGATAATGTTTTGGTTTTTAGGTATATGGTCAGCTAGAAAATACGAGCATATAATAATATTACTTGTAAAATCTCATAGTTCATTTTATTTTAAGAAAAATTAATATAAGTATACTGAAATAGTTTTACTAAATTATTTATTTTAACAAACCATATTTTATTAAAAGTAAGTATTGTTTTAAAACCACATTTTTATATAGATAAATTATATACATAATAATACATGGATTTAATTTATATCTTACATATATTCTTGATTTTTTAGATTTTTTAAATTCAATTGAAATATTTCAATTAAATACATTTTTCAATATGTGACTCAATTTAATGTATTAAGATTGAAAAATAATATAATATCCTATTTATAGTTATAGTTATTGTATTATACAAACAAAATTAATCATGATTACAATAGAACTTTCTATGAAAATGATTTAGTAAAAATATTTTCAAATTTTATTACAATTTTACTTAAAATTAATAATTTGAAATTAAAAAATTTCTGATTATATTATATTATAGAGTAATTTTGAAAACTTTTCATTACTTCGCAGTAAATGAAATTGATTCAAATTATAATAAAACTTTGGCAAAACTTCTAGTAAAAAAGTCTATGTAGTATAGGATAACATGTAGAATAACATAGTATAAAATAGCATGTATAGGATATGGTTTAATAGAATTTATAAGAAGAAAATATTTAAAAAATTTTAAATAAAATTTTTAATAACATATACAAGATGTTGTTCAAGACTTTTTGCGAGTGTCAGATATCTGGAAAGACTTAAGTCCTTAAAAACCCGTTATAACTAAACATCTGGAAAGAACGTTGTAGCTAAACATCTGGGAAAACCCAAGTCATTAGACATCTGTAAATTGTCGTTACACCTAAAAATTTGAGATCTAACGGTACATAACCGCATATAATCTTATCTAGCCTAGCCATACTGCCGCTTGGATAAGTCATGCGGGGGCGCTTTAGTCAAGAGTTCCTGTTGTCACGAAAGCTACGAGAAACTACTCTCTCTCTCTGATTGAAGGCGTAGCTGCTATAGGCGCTCTTGTTAATATGGCTACTGTCGAAGACAATGCTTTCTGAAGACGGAAGACAGAGGCGTGCTCTGATTGAAGTTGCCTAAGACAGCGGATCGTTTTAATTGGAGAAACCTAAGGCAGAGGCTTCCTTAAGCGGAGACGTTTGGTCAGAGGTTTTATAAGTGATGACGACACAGATACAAGTGCTGTCTAAGTGGAGAAGCGAAGGAAGAGGAGGAAGGTCCCTAGTCTTAATACTATAGTGATCAATATTTCATAAGTTTTTAGTGGAATTGAAATTACACTTAAAATTTACTATAAATATAAAATTTCGAGAACCAAAGTTTTTGGAAAGTGCTCCAATCCTGAACATTCCGCCCGCTACCGGATTGGTAATACTGCAAGATTATAAATCGGTTTAAGCATGGTGGTCGAGGAAGTTTTCAACATGACTACTCTGATTAGGCCATCCTCGCCGGGTACCTATTGCAAATAGTGAGCAGATGAATGTGACTAGAATTGCTGTACACCTTGTTGTAGAAATTTCCATCGAGACAATCCTGAAATTGACAACTCCTCGAGAGATGGTTTTGGGATAGTTGTGAGTGAGCTCCTAATTAAGAAATGCCCTGGTGTGAGTGCAGAAAAATCTTTGGAGTCATCACTCATTGATTCTAACGGCCTTCAGTTAATGATTGCTTCTATCTGAGTAAGCAGAGTAGTAATTTCTACAAAGGTAAGCAAGGTTTCTCCAATTGTACATCTCAGATGGAATTTCGAGGACTCCACCACCGCTTACTGTTTTCCCCCATGTGAGGCGTAGCGGGTGGATTGAATTCCCATTGAGAGCAGTCATTCGAGAGGATTGTAGCTATCCGTTCATGCTCTTGGGAACCTTGTGTAAACAGCTTTTTGAGCCCAGTTTCCGCTTCAATAAATGTTGTGCTACAATCAGAGTACAGTGTATGCGGGATGCCTCTGCGAGCCTCTGACTGCCGAGATCGTTCGGTTGTATAGTCGCTGACCACTTCGAGATGTACAGCGGACGTAGCAAACACCCAAATGCACAAATCCATGCCCTGTGGGTTTTTGCATCTCGTCTCTTCCAAGTTTTTATGGGCAAGCATAATCAACACCTGTATGGGTGAATGGTCGTAACGGCGTGACTTGTAAGAGAGGTAGTTGGCTCATTAATTAACAGGCATGGACTCCTCTCTGACGGGCACATGCGACGCATGGTAATGTGTAGGATTTCAGAGGGAACCATCCACTAATTTTACTGGTCACTAGCTAAGTGTCACTAGCTAAGTGGAGAGGTTCATGCTTCAATTCAGTAATAAACACGTTTGCTTCATGTGCTGTTTATTGCGTTTTAATTTACAAATACATAATTATGATACTATGCTGATGAGGAGAATCGTTGAGATCTTGCCGTTCCTTGGTGGTTTCTACGTGGAGGTAGCATGCACTATATGTCGAGGTTGTTGGTTGTAAATCTCCGGATCCTCTTGGTGTAGTGCGCTTGGTGGAGGGTTACTACACTGAGAAGTGAGTGGTCGTAAATCTCTGGACACTCCTTTATGTAGTGCCACGTGGTGGTGTTTTAATTGCGAGTGTCCTCTTGCTGTATGGAAGTATGAAAAAATGGTTCAATACCTCAATGTGCCATGGTAATGCGTGCTATGGCACTTATCGTGACACAGCGTGCAGTGTAGTCTTGGAGCAAGTAAAGTTTATAAGTTGTGATGTTTTTAGAACAGATGTACTACAAAAGTTGTGGCGTCTTGATGTAGATATAGCACAGGAGTTTTGGCGCGTTGATCGAGAATAGAGAAATAGAATGTAGTGACATCTTGATGCAGATGTAATACAGAAGTTGTGGCGTCTTGATACAGATGCAGCACAGGAGTTTTTCTTGATCTAGAATTTAACAGCGTGTTTCCTCCGAGGTGGCTCCAGTAAGACTTCGGTGGCGTCCCCGGTAAGAAAGAGAGAGAGAGCCTTGACTTGTCGCGTACTTGCTTTATATCCGCACGACCGTATAGTTGACTGGTGTCAATGAACAGATGTTGTCATGCGGAGATTGTACAGGACTTCGAAACTAAAATTTTAGTTTTGAGAATTCTAGGAAAGCAAGCTTTAGACGGTTGGAAAATTCTAACCGTCGTTGCTATGCGCAGACTAGATAAATATTGCAGGACACTCGCAATGTATTTAATATTATCGAAAAATTCAGAATTAATGTTTATGTTTTCACAAGCTAGACCGATTATAAATTGCGGAGAATTAATTTTTTTGGAAAATGCTTCAATCCTGAACAGAATTATTGTGATATTTTGTCTTACTTATCATGCATCCACATTTATTTTAATATTTCTAACAGTTTTTAGAATTTGGTATTTTTTATTAAAATTAATTATCACAACTGTACGTTTTGGAAGAGAAAGAGATATTATCATTTTTATCAATTGATGTGGAATTATAATTTTAAATTTCACTGATTCTCAAAAAAGTAATGTTTTTAAATCCATAAAATAAAAAAAATTTATAGAAACTAAAATATCATCAGATCAATAAATAAAATATTTATTTGTGTTTAATCTAATAATATCTATACTTACATCAATACTGTATTATTCAATTTAAATTTATTTCAAAATTTTGTTTAATGTTGGAATAATACAAATATGTAAAAATTCAATCTACAGGTAAAATTTTTAATTGCATAAAGAAAATAAAACTAATTAAATTTATAAAAAATTGTTTTTATTGCATTTATTATTTACACTTACTTAACAAAACTGTCATTAATAGACAATAGGTTTATTTAACATTTCAGTCGTTACAGTAATCAAAGTATTTACATGATTGGTAATTATAGAAACAGAATGTAAAACATGATTTGCAAAAATAAGAAGTAAATATTAAATTATAAGACATTGTAAAACTAATAAATAGTCATGTATGAAAATAGATTTTTTTTATGCAAATTTTCTTTCATGACATTAATGCACCATGAGTGAATTTGGTACTTATATTACTATTGTAAAATAAGTAATGTACATATTGTAATTAAACTTATGAAAAAATCCTTATTCTTTAACAAAGTTTTCATACCAACTTAGAAATCTTAAAAAGGACAAGTTTTTATTAACAATTACGTTAGAACTTTTAAATACCAAGAAATAGCAATAATTTTTGGTATCTGCAACATCTTATCATTGGTCATAAAACCAATTATATGAATTCTTTTGTTACTTATTTGCAAAAAATTTGTAATTAACATTAAACCTTTAACTTTTAGTTTTATAATGCATTTAAATAAGTAATACAAATTCATTTTTTATGTACAGAAATTACTTATTTTATAATTTGAAAAATATTTGCCTTTTAATTTTATTAAGAAATTTTTTAGCAATTAGTGAAAATCGTTAAATAGAAATAATGGTACTTGGATCCTTCTTAAAATAGGTAATTAAAACATTATATTTGAACGTAACAAATTAATTTAAATATTTTTCATTTCTATTCATTTGCCTCAAAATTAAAACATAAAATATGGATAATCCTGAAGAATATCACGAATGGTCTTAAATGATATTCAAGTATTATACATCTTAATTCAGAAATATCTTATAAATTTCTGATTATAAAAATTTAACTTAAACTTGTTTTGTAAAAGCAGTAGGAGGTATTTTTCCTAAGCTGAAGGCTTCTTGAAATGCTACGCGAGCATTTTCAAAATTCCATTGTACTTCTTCTAAACATTTTAAGCTCCACTCAATATTCATGTTTGTCTGCTGACTTAATGTCATAGTCATTTGTTGTTTTACTTCTTCTGTTAATGGTACTGAATTAACTAGTGTTGATGGTGTGGAAGGTCCTGCAGTCGGTTGAATAATTAAAGGAATACTGCTAAACTGTTTTTCTTGATTCATAGTTGGATTACTAATGTGCAACTGTTCATTACTTATACAGAATCCTACACCTTCAGGAACGATAATAAAAGTCCGATTGAAGTATCTTAAGTGCTCCTTATTATCTTTGCTATGTAATTCTTTAAATAAACCTGTTACAGTAATTAACATCATTCTATCCTGTAAATAAAATTTACTTATTTAAAATTGCATTTTTAAAATACATTTGAAAATATTAGGTAAAGAAATATACAGTGACTAGACTTAAATCCATTGTAAAACTGGTTAAATCATGCTTTGTGCGTGGCATTTCAGATATAAAAGAAACTACTGGTAATCTTCCTTGTTTTAATAATTTCCTTCTTCTATTTGAATCTATAATTCTGTATAAATTGCGATTTTCAATAAAATATTGACTAAATCTATAATAAAAATACTGAAATTATGATTTGTTAAATAGGATATATCACATATTTATCAATTAATAAATCAGGCACCTGCTAGAACTTTGAGTAATAGTTACAGTCATACTCAAACAGGCGTGCTCATGATACGCGTCAAGTAGTGGTTGACGATTTTCACTATCAAACACTAAAAAATATTGTTGGAGAAATTGACTAGCAACTTCTTGAGCTTTTGCATTTGATTGAACAATAAACATTCTCTGTGTAGATGGTAGTTTTAGTTTATGTTCTTCTACATCAAATACAATAGGAGGTGGTAAATCTATTCCATCCTTTTTAATGAGAATAAAAATTATTTTCTTATATTAGCTTTGTTACAAGATAAATAAAGATATAAAATATATACACACCAACTTTAAAAGCTTAGGAAACTTCTTTCTTATGTCACTAAAAAAGATATTAAACTTTTTAAATATAATAATAATGAAGACTAAAATTTTTCAAGAAAACACAAATGATTGAATTTTTTTATAAAAACCCAAATTTTTAAAACTATACCTGACATAATCATCCTGTCTATTTTTATATTTATTACACATAGGATTTCCTTCTAATCTCAGTTCTTCTAATTGCAGATTTTTTAGTACATTTAAATGATTTATTTCCTTTATCTGAGGGGATAGTAAACAAATAATTTCATAGAATAAAATTTTAAATGTAAGGATTTTTTTTTTCATTTTTACAAACCTTATTATCACCAATGTGAAGAATTTTTAATTTCTCAAATTTATTGGCTAATGAACTAAGTTTATCAAGATGACACATTTTATTGGAATCTAAATTAAGTGCTTCTAAATTAGGTATGTGTTCTTGAACAATATCCAATACAGCCATTAGCATATTAGGTCGAGCTAGAGGGCACCAATAATCTCCAGCTAATTCTAAATTATAAACATAAATTATATAATTTTATATTGATTACACTATAATCAATATAATAAATTTATAAAAACAATTTCATTTACTTACCCGGATCATGATAAAATTTGGATAAATCTAACGCATTTGTTTCTTGAACATATCTCTTACCCATAGCTTGTTTTAATCTCTCTTTGAGAGCATCACTAATTTGAATAGGAGGAACTCCAGGTCTAACTCTAATTTGCATTTTGAAGCCATCACTTGTTGTTATTCTTTTATCACAATCTACTATCTTTGTTGCAATTCTATGATCCTCAACATAGAAAATTGCATCAGTTCCAACAATTTGGTACTAAAATATTAAGATTATATTAAAAGTATTTTAAAATACCTTTAATATATATATATATATATATATATATATATATATAATTTTTACTAACCATTATAGGAATAAATGAAAAAGGTGCTGTGTAACTTAGTAAACTGCCAAGTACAAACTCTTTCGTGTAATTTTTTCCATGTAAAATCTAAAATAATAAATTAATTGAATTTATATTATAATTAATTTGATATAATTTAAATACTGACAAAATTTTATTGAAAAATAATTTAAATATTAAGAATATTTGTTTTTTAATTTAGATTAATAAAAGTTGAATAATTTATCTTAATACTGATATAAAAACTATCTGAGCAAAGTTTTGTTAATTTTTGTTTTCTACAAGTTAATTTCTATTTCACAAAAATGCCAAAAATAAAAATATTTTTAATTCATCAAAATATTAAATTATATTTATATAAAGACTATGTCATTATCTTCAACTTTTAACTTCAATCTGTTATTATAAAACTAAAATTGAAATTGATATTTAGATTTTCTCAAGCATTGTATATAAGAAAATATTAAGCTGGTTCAGATAATATTACCAGAATTGGTATTTTCTTCAATTTTTTTTTTATAAATTATATAAATAGTTTATAATAAATATATTTATAAGTACTAATATTAAAAAGGATATTTAATCAGATTTAACTACATTTTTAAAGATCAATTTTAATTACCTGTATATTATATCACTAACAGTGAATAAAATTTGAATCAAATAATTGAATATCAATAGTCATAGAAAACAAAAAAATGTTTAAATTAAAATATTAAATTTATATTTATTTATTGTTCAATTACCTACTAAAGTATTTATCTATTTTTAAGCTATATATATATTTTTTAAAACACCATAAAAAATACTTTTTAAAAGAATAAATTACTTTATATTTAAAAATAATAATTGATATATTAGTTTTAAATATATTTTTAATATTTAATATACAATATAAATGATATTTTTCAAAATGAATTTACATATATAAAAAAGTAATACTTACAATTACTTTATACCAATTGGATAAACTAATAGGTATTTGCCTTGATCGACTATCTCTCATATCATTGTGAGGTAATGGACTATTTCTTCCTCTGATAAAACTTTTACCTCTACCTCTATTAATTACTTGACGACTGTTATTATTTGAACTAGCTGACATTAATACATCGTCATCAAAGTGTGGTTTTATAAGATTTCTCATTCGTCCTGATTTATAAGTTTGTTTTTTGAATGACACACGAGGTTTATTATTCATATATTTTGGACCATCATTCGAACGACCCATTCTATCATCATGTCCTATAAAATTTTAGAGAATTTAAAGTATTAACCAACCAATTTCAACAAAACTGAGTTATATCATTAATTTATACTTAAAATTGAGAAAGTTATATTTTATGAAATTAAGTTAAACAATTATACTTTTTAATGGTATCCTACCAAAATAATGTTTTTCTTCGGCGTTACCAGCGCGGCCCAGTCCTCCCCAAAAAGTTTTATTAGATTTTTTAGGCATTTTATGCTATTTATTTTAGATATAAGAAAACGTAAATGAAATATTTTTTATTACAAAAATTATGTTGGAGGTCACTTGTTTCATTTACGAGAAAATAAAATCAATAACTATTATCTCCTTTAATGAATTGAATTACAAATCACAGACGTATAAACTATAATTATATTTTTTTCCAATAGTCTATGTGTACTCCTTCTCTGGGATAACCGAAACAACTGATGTTCATGGCAGTGGCCATGTTGAATGTGATGGTGTTGTATATTATAAACGCCAACCATCTCATAGTAATTATGCATTTGTATGCGCAACAATATTCATGCAACTCCAGAATCATAATTGGCGGAAAATTTAAATTTAAACTAAAATTTGAAGTATTTGTAAAGATTTCATTTATTTTATTCATTTTATAAATCATCAACAAATAAAAAAACGTAGGAAGGAAATATATATAAGTAGAATTGATGTTATGATGATTATATGAAAGAATGATAGTTAATAATATATTTATAATATTATTTATAAAAATTTCTAAAGTATTACGTATTAATTTTTTTATTGTTTTTAGGTATCTGATTCTCATTCATAAAACATTAACAGTTTTAAAATAAGTATTTCATTTCTACAGATTATGATTTTTTTATATAATTTAGAAATGAATAATTATAATTATTATGCATATTATTTTGTTCAACACAAATGTTTATACATTTTGCAAAAACAATTGTTAATAAAATATAATTTTTTAAAAAACTTTAAATATATTTAAATAGTTCTTAATAAAATAAAAAAATATATAATTATAAATAATTTTTAATTATTTTAAATTATCTTTAATCTCATGTAAAATATTCATTAGAGATTGATGTATTAAAAAATAAATTTATTGAGAATCTATAATTCTTGTTAATTCTTAACCGAAGTGAGTTCTAGATCATATAATTTATTCAATAATTAAAACAATTTTTATAAGTATTTTATAAATGATTTATTAAAAAAATTTTTTTTTAATTATAATAGATATACGTCATATGAAACAATATAAAGATTAAATTTATAGTTTTATAATTAATTTTGTAAATATTTTATTTATTTCAGTATTTGTATTGTATTAATATTTCATTAATATTATTTATTAATATATCATTTAGTTTTTATTTAATCTTTGTTTGAAATAATATATAATAATATATAGTAATAAAAATATGCTTATACATATATAAAATATCTGCTTATAATTTACAATACTTGTTTATTTTGTTATAATGTAAATGTAAACGTATTGTACTTTTGCATTTTTCTACTTAGTAACTATCTCCTATATTGTAAATTTAACAATTGATTTCATTTTTCTTTAGAAGCAATAGTATCTAATGAAAAATAATAAAGAGAAACCTATACATAAAGTATATATCAAAGGAGAATTATGAAAGTAAGGATATCAAGATATTTAATAATATTAATTACATTTGTGTAATTCATCAGCAATGTATTGGCGATGTACGTACACAAACGAGTCAATTTCCATTTCCAAACTTTACGATAAATCGATAAAGTACTACTGTATCTACATGTATAAATATTTTGTTTTGTAATAAATAAGTAAATCTATCTTTCAATACATATTATTATCTTCCTCTTCGCTCTGGTGATAATGATAACTCTAATAAAAAAAACAAATATTAATAGTATACTCTTTAATTTTCCTGTGATTATAACTTCGAAATTTTCTTTTATTTTCTCTCTTGATATTCTATTTATTATTATTTTTCGTTGTTTACCATTCGATTTTATCTTTTTCGCTTTCTTTTTTTGTCACTTTTTTCACTTATACACGACATTATTTATCTCTATTCCTTCCCTTTATGTTTTCAGAATCTATATTTCCTATTTATTTTCTAATAGTCTTGTTGTTGATTAAAATGTATATATCCTATTTACAACGACTTTATAATGTTACATTATATCTCTTGATTAAATAGTAAATACGTTACGTGACCACTTGTACCACTTGTCGACAATGTATCCAAGTGATTAATTTAGCATTCGGAAGATTTAGAATATATAAATAAGATGTTGAATATAAGAAATTAGTATATTTATTAGTATTTTCGAGTATTATCCTTTTTTATTCAAATTATTTACTCACGGTATATGTATAGAATGTTTGATTTAGCTCAAACTTATTCTTGCTGGTTCTGAAAATACTGTACATAAAGCCAACTTGCTGGTGATTTTGGTCTTTGTATAATCCAAAACTTCTTTTAGTTTTATATTTTTTATTTACATCGGTTTTAAGCTTGTTGTTACAAACAAATCTACTGTACGCACAACCGTCATATTCTTCTCAATTTTATAAAGCTTCCTTTGGAATTGCTTTACTTAGCGTATTATCTACCCATCGCCTCTGTCAAAAAATAAGACAGAGAGAGAGAGAGAGAGAGAGAGAGAGAGAGAGAGATAGTAGTTACATTTAGATGATCATAGATGCAACGCATCTATAAAATTTTGAAATATTTTTAATATTTATATTAAATTTATGTTTATAGTATAATAATAGTTGATTATTTTATATAAAAAATTTAATGGAAGTAGCTTAATTGAATGAAATTGTTATGTGTTTGCTATATGAAACAACTCTCCGACAGTTGGTCTCTCTCTCTCACTCTCTCTCTTTCTACCATTCTACGCACCCTATCCTTTGGTATGTAACAAAAAAGGTATTCTTAATTTCTTCAATAAGCAGAGATTTAATATCATATATTCAATTTCAATAATTAAAATAAACACCAAGAAGTGATATAGAATCTTAAAACATTAAATACAAGTATTTAACTATTACATATTAATAAAGCTTTTAATTATAGCATATGAAATTAAGTATATTTTTAAATTATTTGTAAGTATTATTATTTTTCGGAATTCCACTCACCCGGCGGTCGAGAGATCAAGGTGATTGGATTAGAACATACCTACCATTTTACTGGTGGTAAAGTAAGAATGAATGAGAAGGTAATGCATCAATTCAGTTTCAACACAATTGGTTTCGTGATATTTATTTTAGGTTGAATTATAAATATGTAAAACGATTCACCCGTGATAGAGAGAATTATTGAGATCGTCCTGTGGTCTTGATAGTTGGTTAGAGAGAAAGTGAAAGTGCCTCGTTCGGGTGTGCAAGGGAAGACTGGTCTTGCTGGAGGTGCGTTGTAAATAGCAGCGCCCCGTAGCAGTATGACGGAAATTAATCTTGCTGGCGGCGCATAGCAATGGCGGCGCCCCATAGCAGGATAAAGGAGATTTAGCCTCGCTGGAGGCGGGTGGCAATTACTGGCGCCCCGTATCAGTATAAATAAGAATTAATTGCTGGAGGCGTACTGCGAGTAGCAGCGCCCCGTAGCAGTATCAAGAGAATTACTTGGTAGCAGTATACCTTGCTCAGATTCCTTTTGACGATGGCGTGGAGAAAAGCCGTAGAACTTCATTCTGATATCATCGGGAAGACTAATCCTGCTAGGGGCGCATGGTAGTAGTAGCGCCCCGTAGCAGTATGACTTTCACAAACTCCTCTTGACTCACTCAATATAACTGAACTATTCTTCGACGCATACTATAAAAGATATTATTTTATAAAAATATTATTACTACTTCTCCTACAATTAAATTCACAAAAATACATTAGCTTACTTAATTCTGTGATGAGTGCGTTGGTGGCACGCTTCTTAATTAATATTCACTCTTGTAATGTAATCAGCATTCTTGAATGCTTAACTATGGCGCACGTAAATGATTATAATTGATTGTCGCTTCACTGTTGGCTTAGTAGCTTATTGTTGCTATGTAGAGTAATGATTGATACCTGATTGATTGAGAAACTGACACGGTGTGACGCTGAGTGGCGCGACTCAGGTTTCTTACGTGAGGCGAAAGCGAAGATCTGCTTGAGCTCAGGCTGGTTACTGGAGTGACCGTATGGGAATTGGTGGCAACGCACTTTATATTAGAAAGATTACTAACGAAGACTTTCGTCGGACTCAGCTGATATCTTTTCTCCTTCTTTCTCCATGAGCACGGCGAGTTGTAGTTGGATCGGCATGGTGGGTGCTGAATGGCGCGAAGATAAACTTCGTGCGCGTGGAGCACAGTCTGTGGCATTAGTCAGGATAATGTTGTGTTTACCTTTGAAACGACCTTGATCCCTGAAGTATGTCCGGTGACGTGGCTCCTGGTAGATCCTTGGGTGGAAGATGGTGGCTATGGCGCCATGAATTGATGATATTCCAAACGAAGACATGGCTTTGAACTCAGCTGAGGGGACTTCCCCTTACTTTGGTAACTTCAACGTGAGTGTTTGTCCCTCTTAAATAGTTCACTGACTTTAGTGTCCACTTGGGATCCTTTACCTTTTTTCGTGTCCAATCAGAGAACTTGCCGATTCATGAGAGAGAGCAGCTCCTTTCGCGGCATAATCTTCAGTCAAGAAACTCATTCTTTTCGTTGCTCTCAAGCCAAGAAGAGCTCCAGATTCCATCGCCACAGCGGCCACATGGTAGACATGAAAAAAGGCGGAGGGGCCAATGCATGCCGGTCGGTCTTAACGTTTGGATGGGGGCTGGGCGACCGTCTCAAGAAAAACAAAACATCTAATTTTTCCAGATGTTTTATTAACAGGCATCACCAGTCGAACGACTAGTTAATCCTTTTGGGTTCGCAAGGTGTTTAATGACTCACAAATTTTTTCGCAATCTTGGACACACTCAAAAGTACTTAATCGTGATTGAATTGTTTAATATTGATAATGATCACATGATTTAATTTAATTAGATGAATATATATATTTTTTTGTATTACTTTAAAACTATTTGTTAATTTTTTAAATATATTAAAATAATTTAATTTTGATACAAATACTAATTATATATTAAAATGCTAATTTGTATAAGATATTGAATAAACAATTTTCTTTAATTTTCTTTAAAAAAAAATTTGATTCTAAAAAAACTCTATGCAAAAGGTATTCTTTAATTGAAATAATTTTAATTAAACTTCGAATAAAAATTTTTATTTTTATGAAATATATAATACAATTATTAGCTCTATGTATTAAAAATTAAATAATTACAATAAAACATTAGAGAATTATTATATAAAGAACACAGTTTAGATAAAAAAAGTAAACAAAGAAATGCAATTAAATCTTTAGTTATAAAGTATATAGCATATTTCTTAGTATAACATAAAAATAGAAT